CGGGCCTCTCTTGCCCCCCCGTCCCCCCTGCCAGCAGGAATGTCGTATTTCGGGAAGCCGTGCCAAACGGCAGGAATCCAGGAGGAATAGATTTCTGGACACAGTAAAGCAGGGAAGAAGCAACAGCCTGGATTAGAAGTGCAGCCCGGCCATCGGCACCAGGCCACTGCAACAGTTTAAAGCCCACGGCATCCTTGCGGACTCGCCGGATTCAAACCGTGCCAGCCCGTGGCACGAGCCGCCTGCTGTGCAAATCCACCACCAGATCGCCAACCGTTTAGCCCAGTGCCGCCTCCTGCCACAGCTCCCCTGCTGCCCCCCAGCAAATCACGGGAGGGTGGGAACACCTGAAAGTCTGCGCTGGCATCTTTAGAGCTTAAAAAAAAAAGAAATGCTCTAGCTACAATAACCCTCTAATTACAAAAAAAGTGGTTTTGTTACTTTTGTGCCCCTGGGCTGTTGGGAGCAAGCGGATGAGATGGCGAATAACCTGCAGCCACAGCGACAGAAGCGGGCAGCACGGCTGGGGATCGCTCAACTCTGCCTAGAGCTAGAAATGCGTGCCAACAGCGACCGAGCGGGGCTGCTTCTGCTCCCGAAAGGCAGGGAAATTACGGGCTGCAGTTTTAAACAGGACCTTTGAGACAACCCAGAGCATCTCAGCCATGGAGCAGAGTCAATCCTGTTTGTGTCCCAACCTGGACACAAGTTTCCTATATTCCTATCCCATAGCACCAGGTATCGGGAAAGGCGAGAACTATATCCACCCTCCTAGCCAGGCTCAAAAAATACAGCCTAAAGATGAAAGACGCCCAACAATCCTGTGTGGGACCAAGTCCACTTCATGCTGGCTTTGCGTGAAATGTTCCTCTTAAAGCATAATCCCCCTTTCCCTGGCTGGAGGGGGGTGAAAAGTGGTTGATCCTCGAGAAGGCTGGTGCGATGCGGCTCTTTCCTGACCCTCAGCTTCATCCCCAAGATGTCAGTGCTGCACGAAGCGATCCCAGAGCCCATCCCTGATCCTCAGGACCAGGGGAGGATGCTCCAAAGCAAAGCACAGAAGCAGGACGCCAGCTCCCGGCAGAGGGGAAAGTTTGCACGCGGTCTGACCTGGCGCGTTCTCATCACAGGGCGTCTCTCATCACAAATGCGCAGAAGGCAGCGTGATTTAGCGCACCGGGGTCCCGCCCGCGCACCCAGCACCGGGGGAAAGGAGGAGCAGAGACGCGCCAAGGTCCCGGCAGCAGAGCCAGAGACACCCAGTAAGGCAAATGCAACATGAGGCGCCTGGTGAAGGCTGTTGCATGGACCCTCGGGCACGTCTTCAAGCCAAGCTGAGCAGAGCCAACAAAATCAGCCCCACTTTTGCAGGATGTCTGTAAAACCTGGACACTTGATGTCTGCAAAAACTTTGGACCACCAGGACATGTTTCCCTGGGGCTTCCTGGGACCAAACAAGGAAGATGTGGAGAATCGCCGTGAGGACTTTCTTTTTTGACTCAAGGGGTCACTCCCTGAACGAGACCCTCTCTATGGGTGTAGAAGGAGAAGGCTAGAGACAAGATGGTTGGGAAATGGGGGAGAACAGACTCAAAACCAACAGCATCACGCAACCAAGGCCTCTTCCAGCAAAACCTTCCAGAAAGAGATTTAACAACGCCCCTACCGTCCCCCCCGGTGCTCTTTAGGCTTCAAATGCATTGGCCAAATTCCTGCTACAAAGAGGAATCGCCCAGGCTGAGTGACGGTCGTGGCATCCCATCCACTCCAGCGCTATTTCTGCAATCGAGCGTACACCAGAAACGCCGCAGCTGAAATCAGAGCGATGCCCACAGCTGGAACGATGTACGGCAGGGACGGTCCATTGCTGTCCCCTGGGGGGACTTTGGCCTGAGACGAGCTGGTCGCAGTGCCGCGGCCCCTGCTAGAATCAAAAACTGGAGAGGTTCCAAGGCGATCGTCTCCATCTCGGAGGTCGCTGCCTGCCCCGAGCTGGGCGCTGGGGTAATGCTCCACGCAGACCTCATGGGTGCCCAAGGAGGTGCTGTCCCAGCTCAGAGGCGGACAGGAGTCTCTGCTTGCTCCAGCTGTCTCCTCTCCCCTGGGGTCTTCACGAGCTGCTGGAGCTGGGCATCCCAAGGAGACTCTGGAGAGCGCTTCTCCTGAGCTCGAGCTATCCGTGCTCACCAACATTGGGTCACTCCTGAAGGTGAGGCTATCGGACGGCCCAGAACAGGGGCCGCTGGGCCCCTGAGAGCTTGGGCATCTGCCGGCCGCCTCTGGGCTCTCCCCAGCCACGGAGAGGAGGATGCCCACCTTGCTGAGCTCCGCATTGCTCTCCATGTTGCTGCAAGATGCCCAGATGCTTGTGCCAGAGCTCAGCTGGGAGGCCCGCCTCCCAGATGCGCCTTCAGAGCTTCCTGCAACAGTCGGGAGAGGCTCTGCCGAGGCCGGGAGCACCTTTGGGAAACAACAAGAGGGGCTGGGTGCCATGGGGAGCACCCGTTTGGCCTGGTCTCGGGCACCCACATCACGCAATGAGCCCACTTCAGCGCTCAACCACCACATCTCCAGCCACTGCCAGCGAGGTTGGGTCACAGGTAACTCCCAGGGCTGGGGGAGTGAGCGGGGCAGGGAGGTGTTGGGGCTCTGGGGAACCTTTGGGATTCGGGGGAGACACGGGAAGGAAGGAGGGGAAGACAAACAGCGAGGAGAGGGGTGGAAACAGGCACTTGGAAGCCAGGAGACTGACTGGCAAGTCAAGGAGGGGGAAATAAGGAGTCAAAGCCCAACAAACCTTGGCTCCCTTCTCCCGTGCTCCAAAATACAGCATCCGGACGGGGACATGAGCACAGTGGGTAAAAAAGCCCCGAATAAACTCGCCACCAGCTCAAAATCTTACACTGCAGCAGAAAATCTCCCGACCAGGGGGAGTTTGCAAAGACCTGAATGAAATGCAAGTGGCAAAGGGAAAGGTCACCTACTTTCTCCTTCGTCGGCATGGAGAGGGTGCTGCTGGCCGTCTCCCCCGCGGGCAGTTTTTGCTCTTGTACAGGAGGCTTCACGGAGGTGTCGCAGGATGGGGAAGCGTCTCTGGGCGCAGGGGTAGCGTCCGGGGTAGTTGTTTCCATCCAAGCGTCTGTCGGGGAGAAAACAAAACGTATTGTGTTCATCAGGAGACCTAAAAGATCAGTTTTGCTCTTCCTCAGGGGTGCTGCAACAGGATACTCCCAGAGCTGAGGAGGTCGCACGGGGAGCAGGACCCGGTGCCACTGGGTGCTGCCCGCACGGCCCTGGCTCCACCACGGCACCCAAGCTCTCCCGGTAGGTGCAGGAAAACCAGACGGCACCAGCCAAGCCAGCGCACCCAATCTGTTTCTCCCTTCGAGAGTGGGGTGGCCCCAGGCTGCTGAAACGAGGGTGCAGACATTCAACTGGGGCACGTTTCACATCAGAAATTAAGCCAGTGGCTCTGCCAAGTCCTGGTCAGGACGTTGTGCCAAAATACAGCGAGCAACAACTGCAAAAACAACGGGAGGGAAAACCAGGGGAAAACAAGCAGCCAGGCTGGATTTCTGCACAACCCAACCTCACTCCCTTCTTGGAGGAGGTCACTGCGGCCCAGGAGACAGGAGAGGAGATGAGTAACAACAGCACAGGGAGCTGTTCTCTACACCTCCAAGACTGCTCGCAGGCCACAAGGCGGACGCAACCTTGGGCTGTCCTGTACCAACAGCCGCAGCTACCACCACTCTTTGGGAGGCTCCCCACGGCCTCCTGGCAGGGCCCTGCCCCACGCCTGGACCTTCTCTGCCGCTCTCCATCCTCACTGTCAAGCAGGACGGGCATCTGGCAGCACCTTCAGCGCTGCTCCCCATCAGCGTGGTGGCTACACGGAACTGCCGGGAAAGAAACCCACCTCCATCTCCTGCGTGCTCTCGCAGCATCCTGACCTGCTTCTGCTCCGCATCGAACTGCTGCTGTATGAGGAGGGGGCTGCGCACATCCACGAAGCTGGCTGGGGGCTCGCCGTACTCGGAGCTGGGCATAGCCTGTTTTTTTGGCAGGGACTCTGGGGGCTGCGGCCCCCCGCTGCGAGTGGTCCCCTCCAGCCTCGAGGACAACTCATTCGAGACGTAGCAATCCTCTTCGGGCTCGTTCCTGGGCTGCTCAGGGCTGCGAGCAGCGCCCGCATCCCTCGGCGGAAGAGACCTGCCCAGACCCAAGCCCGGCGCGCCGCGGTGCAGGTGGTTGGCGTTTCCAAAACACCCGTTGTCCACGCACACCGGGCGCTGCTGGCGGCTCAGCCAGTCCTACGCGCTGGCCCGGCCGCGCTGGCTGCCCCGGGGGTCCCCCCTGCCGCCTGCGTGGCCTCGATGGGGCGCAGGAGATGCCCCTCTCCGCCATGCCCATCGCTCACTCCTTCACAGACCATGCTCCCAGGCGCAGGCGGCCGGGGACTCTCTTGTTCCAGGTTTTTGGGGAGCTGGAAGGAAATGAGCTGTGTTAAATTACTGTGCCAGGATGAGGGGATCTGGATCATCGGGGTGCCCCAAACCCTGACCCAGTGACCCACACCAGCCTGGTGATGAAGGGGGTGTCTCCTTGGCACCCACCACACAGCTCACAGGAGGTCTGCACGGGGTTGGGGGCTGTGGAGGGGAGCCTGGACTAACGGAGCAGACCCTGCACCCCCATCCATGGAGGGGAAGCAGGAGAGGGGAGCAGTTATAGGGCCATATGTAGGCTATAAGTTACCAGATGCAGCAAGCAAGCAGCAGAGATCAGCAGCGAGAGGCTGCTTGGGGTGTCCCTGAACGAGCCTGCCCCCGCCACGGGCTCCCCACGCCCCAGCGAACCAATGCTCCAGTCCAAAAGGGACCTTTGCGTCCCCATCTCGACACGTGCCCCGCTCACCGATTCCTGCACTGGGGCCCTGGCATCCAGGTCGGTGCTCGTGGTGGTGGCAGCACTGGGCAGGAGAGGCAGACGGCCGCCGACGGGCAGGTCTCGTTGCGGCTGCTCAGCCAACGGGGCGCCCGAAGCAGGATTCGGCCCTGGGGACAGCGTCTGAGCACCGATGGAGGAGACGGCAGGACGGGCATCGCTGGCTGCAGGAGGGAAGGAGGCAGCAGCGGGAGCCGGGGGATCTGGAGGAGCCAAGGCAGTTCGTGAGCGGGGACGTCGGGGGAAAAACCGAGGAGGCAGAGGGTGAACGTGGGGCCGAGGCAGCCCCTCGCGTGCCCCTGCTCTGTCCCCACATTGGCCAAGCCCGCAGCACCCCTTCGCTCATCTTTCCATCTCCCCTCCAGGTGAGAAACCCAGCCCACCGCCAACCCAAGCACCTTCAAACAAGGACCCCACCATCCCCAGGCACGTCACCGGGGTGAGGGACATCCCTGGGGACGGTCACGGACACCCCCAGGCCCCTGGGAAGCCGGGGCAGGGAGAGGGGCCAGCTACTCCGCGGACACCGGGAGATGTGTTTCGGGTCCCCATCTCCACCAGACCCCCGGGGCAGCAGGCAGGAACGCCGAGGCTACGTACGGGCTTGCCAGGAGTCGTATACGTGCTGCAGCTCGTCGGCCAGGTGCCCCGCGTTGTTCTGGCGCAGCGCGTCGATGAGATCCGTCACCCAGCCCTGCCGGCACTTCAGGTGCTGATAAAACCTATAGACGGTGGCATGGGTCCCTCGCGTTTCCTCCCGGGTGTGAAGTTCATCCTAAATAAAACACACAGCGGATCTAAGAGGGGGTCTGGGTTAGAGGTAAGGCAGCTATACGTTGCCTGAGCTATACATTGGGGACTGGGGAAAGCAGATTACTCTGTCGGCGTCGGTCAGGCAGGTCAGGGAATCGATCAGCGACGCCACACGGATGTTCTTGAAAGTGTTGAAGTTTTTGAAAATGTATTCGTACACTTTGTCTTCGGCAAAACCCATCCTGGCTCAACACCTGCCGAAAAAGAGAGACTTAACGTGCCGGTAAAGCTCGGCTTTTCTATAGGAGCTTGGGCTTAGCGCTTAACCTTGCCACGGCCGGCGATCAGCGTAGGGAGAATTCCTGGGCGGAAAAGACGTGAAGTAGAAATACTCCGGTTAAAGGTTAACTCTCGATTCTGCTTTCACCAACCTAATTCCCCCCTGCCATTGCCCAACCCGTATTTATGTTTATCCCTTTCGCTGCCGGGTTGATCCCGGTCTAGGTCTCGCCACGCGAGCCAGGCCGAGGCTGGGACCCTGCTTTAGGCCCCGAGCGATGCATTCTCGCTGATGGAAAGGGATGGAGGAAAAGCGATAAACAGAAAATGCCGTATTTCAGGGAAACGGCAACAAAAAAAAAAATATGAAACTTTCCTCCCTGCGCCCGCCGCCGCCATGCAC